ATTTGGTTATCCTGCTTTCCTCGTTCATTTTTAAATTCCCCAGATGAACTTTCATTTTCTATTTTCATTTCCTAATTTCATTTTTGCATCATGTTCCCCTTTAAGGTAGTCAACACTGACTAGTCTATACTTTTAAACTTCTTCCAAATTTCCTTACTTTCCAGTTTTATGGCTCTACAGCTTGTTTTCACTCTTGTTTGAAACCTCTAGCAATCTTTTAAAATTAGAAAGGATCTAATTTCTATCAACAAGGAAATAAATAAATCAGCTAACAAAAACTGGAAGTAGAAAGGTAATTTCAAGGCACCTGGGTGGCTCAGTCAGTTAAGCATCTGACTCTTGATTTCAGCTCAGGTCATGATCTCAGGGTCGTGAGATCGAGCCCCCACATGGGGCTCCATGCTGGTTGTGGAGACGGGTTAAGATTCTTCCGTCTTTCCCTCCCAGCCCCCACTCCCCGATCTTATGTGAACTCTCTCAAACAAACAAACAAACAAACAAAAACATATGTAAGTTAAAAAAAAAAATACCAAATGAAGCGCTGTATTGTTTATGAATCTGAAGCAAATCTGAGTGGTAAATGAATTTATATTGCTCTCTGAACTTCATATTTGAAATATTTTGTAATAAAAATGTGATGTGCAAAACCTTTTAGAAGAAACAAACCACGTTTAGAGTAAAGCACTCTTTGGTAGCCTTGGCTCTGAATTTTTAACTTTATTTCCTATTCCTGCTCAGAAAAACAATAAGATAGATTAAAGAGTATGATGGCCATGGCTAATGTGAAATATCTCTATGGCATATCTAGCTTACTATAGTCTTCATGGGCTTAAAAGAAGATCAACTTGTCTAAGCATGATATTTTGAAAAATTCAAATATAATAAACAAAATAAACAACCTCCCACATTCTAGAACTTTCTGGCAATGTGCTATCAACTATTTCAAGCCTACCTGCATACATCACTGTTTATGAAATATTCACTTCTCCACTAGTCTTGCAACTTTAGCAGCAACATTCTCCAAAAATATATTGTAATCAATAATGTTGTTAACCTCTAATTCCTAATACTGTTTCTCTTTCTCCTATTCTCTACAGATTTCTTTCCTAGGCAACTTCACATTTTATAATTCTACCTTTGGAAACAGTAGCCAAATGTAGCCAAGTAGCTCAGCCTTTAGCTCTCATGGCTTCTCTTCTTCAGGCTGATAACTTCAGTCTATCCTTTTCTTGATCTATAAAGTCAGCTCAGAATTTGTCTGGTCCTTCCACCTCTGAGGGACATCTTGAAATAAACTCACTTTCTCCCCTTTTATTCTTCACCCTTGAAAAAGTTCCATGAAAAACATTCCTCAGCTATCTCCATTTTCCTATTCAGATGATCTGTTCTCTACTCTAGGTTAACCCCACAAGTATTTCCTTTGTGACTATGGTTCTCCCTTCACCTTCTCTCGTCCATCACCTTCACCAGCCACAGTATTTTTTTCTCAGTTTACAGTCCATGATCCAACACACATCCATTAGAATACCAGAGCAGTATCACCTAAAAAATCCTGTCTCTTGCAGGAATGAATATTTTGAGATGGTGAAACACCAAGTTACCCCAGATTCCCAGTCTCTTCCTACATAAAGGATCTAATAATAAGTTGTGACCCAACTAATACTTAGAAACTGTTTCTTATAGATTTTCAGCAAATCATAAACCCACCAAGGACCTCAAAGAAGGAAATCTAACTCATACCTTAAAAAAAAAATCCAGAGGAAAAGATAGACATGCAAAAAAAAATTACAATATAATGTAGTAAGTGCATCAGCCATGCAAAAAAATTATAATGTGGTAAATGTATCAACAGATGCTTATATGCACATAGCTACTCATTTATTGATTACCTACTTGTACCAATTAAGTGGGGAAACAGTGGTTCACAAGACAAACCAAATCTTTGCCCTCACAGAGTTTATATCCCATTGGTAGGTGGGGCTTGTAGTAACCTAAATATTTTCACGGTGTTTAGTGACTGAAATATGAACGAGATAAAATAAGTTGTGATATTGGGCAGTCTCTAAAACAGGACTGAAAGGTGACAACTGGCCTGAGAGAGGATAAGGAGTCGATTAAAGTGAAAAGTTATTCCATGTCCAAGGACAACAAACACAGCAAACTGGAACAGTCACATGCTTGGCAGAAATCTGCCTAATTTTTCTAGAACAGGTAGAAATGTACAAGTAAAGGCAGAATCAAAAGAGCTAAAGTCAGAAAGGCAGGCAGGGACCAAGTCGTTTGGGGCACAGTAGGTCAAGGATGGAGCTGGAGGCAAGTTTGATTCATGGTTTTTAAAAAGAGACCCCTTTGGCTGCTGTGTGGATTAAAAAAAAACAAGAGTGGAAGCAAGCAGGCTAGTTAAGAAGCTTCAAGCGTCAGATGAAAAATGGTGGTACTGACTGAGGGTGCTGACAAGGGAAATAGAAACAAGTGGATGGATGTAGAATTGTGTCTGCAGGAGGAAAGGATGAGATGTGCTGACTGACTGGCTGGGGTGGGAGGGGAGCAGAGTTTAAAATAAAACAGTGGAACCATGGAGAAAGGGTAACTCACCTCTCCTTGGTGGAGTGGAGAAGTATGTCAGCGAACACATTCTCAAAGAGGTGACTTTCACAGGTATGAAAAAATGGAAAATAACAAGTGTGGGTGAGGATGTGGACAGACTAGAACCTGGTTCATTGCCTCCAGGGAATGTAAAATGGTGCGGCCACCATGGAAAATAGTAGGATAGTACTCAAAAACTTAAATATAGAATTGCCATATGATCAAGCAATTCTATTTCTGGGTTTCTACCAAAAGAATGAAATGGAGAAGGACTTGAATGGTTGTGTGCCATGTCCCTAGCAGCATTTTTCATAGTCGCTAAAAGGCAGAAGTACCCAAGTGGCATCAGGGGACAAAAGGCTAAACAAAATGAGTTCTAGAAATTCAATGGAATAGTATTCAGACTTAAAAAGGAAGGCAATTGGGCGCCTGGGTGGCTCAGATGGTTAAGCGACTGCCTTCAGCTCAGGTCAGGATCCTGGAGTCCCGGGGTCCAGTCCTGCATCAGGCTCCCAGCTCCATGGGGAGTCTGCTTCTCCCTCTGACCTTCTCCCCTCTCAAGCTCTCTCTCACTCTCTCTCTAATAAATTAACCAAAAAAAAAAAAAAAAAGGAAGGCAATTCTCACACAAGCTACAACGGGGAAAAACCTTAAAACATAATGCTAAGTGAAAAATGTCAACCACAAAAGGACAAATAATGTATGATATCACTTATATCAAGTACCTAGAACAGTCACATTTGTAGAGGCAGCAAACAGAACAGTGGTTGCCAGAGGCTAGAGAGAAGGAAGGGTTTTGTTTGTTTTTTGTTTAATTTTGCGTAATCTCTATCCCCAACGTGGGACTTGAACTCATGGCCCCAAGATCACAGGTGAATGCGCCACCACCTGAGCCAGGCATGTGTCCCAAGGAGGGAGTTGTTAAATATTTGTTTAATGGGTATGATGTTTCAGTTTTCCAAGATGAAAAGTGTTCTATAGATAGTTGTAATGGTTTCACAACAATGTGAATGACTTAATGTCACTGAACTTAAAAACGGTTAAGATGGCAAATTTTATGTTATGTGATCTCACCACATTTTTTTTTTTTTAAATAAAAAGGGAGAGGGGCGCTTGGGTGGCTCAGTGGGTTAAAGCCTCTGCCTTCAGCTCGGGTCATGATCTCGGGGTCTTTGGATCGGGCTCTCTGCTCAGCGGTGAGCCTGCTTCCTCCTGCCTGCCTCTCTGCCTACTTGTGATCTGTCTATCAAATAAATAAGTTTTAAAAAAGGGGTGGGGAAGAGAAAGCAAAGCAAAGCAAACAGGAGTCCTCCAGGCAGCCATGAGATGGAAAGAAAATTCTAGGTAGAAGCAGCAGTGATGTGTGAAGGCACGGAGTTGGTGAATTATGAACGGTGACAGTTGTTTTTCAGTGGGATATTTAAAACATTATGATCATCATTTCTATTCATTTAAAATCCTGATGCAGAACTCTGGCTTAATCAGATTCAAAAAAGCCTGGATCTCTTTATGCCGCATTTCACATTCTCCTAGATGTCAATCTAGTGGTGAAGACCCACATCCAATTACAAAATTATGCAGCCCCAGTTTTGTTAAGTGCAGTAAAGGAAAAGCAGTTGTGCACAGAAATTGGTTCCAAAAGAGAGCTTAACTGGATAGGAAGTGAGAAAAAATTTCCGGAGGGAAAGACATTTAAATGTAACACCTGATTGATGAGAAGCAATTAAATTAACATCTGACTCAGACAAAAAAAAGTCTGGGATCTATACCAGCCAGTAAGACAAAGGGTAAGACTGATAAACAAAGGGGTGGGGGGATGGAGTTAGGGAAAGGGTAAATGTGATCTTTTATTGCAGTGGGTAATATGTTTCCCAACTTTCAAAACTGCCCAACTTGGATTTCCAGAAGCAGACATCAGAAGCTACAAACCCAGTAAAATAGGTTTGCCAATAGGCTCCTAACGTGTTTCCTGGACCTTTTATCTTATGGAAAATACCTTCTTAAGCTCTCATTCAGAACTCAGAAGGTGTAAAGAATATCCCTGCCTCCTTCTAACACGGCCAAGGTTTCCCCCTGGGGACACAGCCTTGAGAATGAGGCCTTGTTCTCGGAAGGACAGAGCATCCCTGGAAAGGTAGAGCCTGGCTTTCACGCATCCCTCCCACCCCCACCCCTGTCCCCATTATCCTTCCTTAACTTTCGGGTGGGTTTCCTACTTCAGATCTCCGACTATGATGAGCCACCCATCCAGCAGCTCAGCACGATCTTAAGGGCACCGTTAACGGGACGCGACGCCGCGCCCCTCCCACTTCGGGGCTGGGTGCGGGTGGGCTCTGTGCGCCGGCTGGAAAGTGCGCAGGAGGCGCCGCATCGCGCGTTCACGCTGCCCGCGACCCCCCAAGGCTCCGGCTCACCTTTCTCCTTGGTTACGAGGGAGACCAGAGGCACCCGCGGGCGGTCGCTAAAGATCTCGGCCTGCTGCACCAGCGCCTCGCGCACGCTGTGGAAGTCGCTGAGGACCACCACCAGGTAGTGGCCGATGAAGAAGCTGAAGACGTTGCCGTAGACGCGGGCCAGGTCGGCCAGGAGCAACTGCGGGCTCAGGGCCGAGGGCTCCGTCCCTGCGGCCCTCGCCCGGCGGTGCAGCCAGCTCTTCCGTCGGAGGAACGAAGGCAGCAGCACGAAGCCGAAGTTGCCCACCACGGGCCAGGGCGTGGGCCCGGGAGGGATGCCCCGCGCCCGGTGCCGCCAGAGCCAGCTCCAGCCGAGCAGCGCCGCGAGGCTGAGCAGCCAGAGCGCGCCGCCGGTGGGGTCCAGCCGCAAAAGCCCGGGAGGCGCGGGCAGCAGGCGCAGAGGCCAGGGCGAGCCCTCGGCGGGGGGCTGCGGCAGCCCGGGGGAGGCCATGGCCGGGCGCCGGGGTCCGCAGCCTCGGCTTCCTCGGACGGACCCTTGGAAACCGCAAGCTGACAGCGGCGCCGCTCCCCCGGCGCCCGCAGCTGACTGCGCCGCGGGGCGGGGGGCGGGGAGAAGGGCGGCGGAGGGCGCCCCGGATTGGCCGCGCGCACCGCCCGCCTCCAATCAGCTACGCCCGAGCACAAACGGGGACGCGCTCGCAGCGTGGCAGAAGCGGTCCTCTGGGAGGCGGGGCGCGCGATCCGAAAGTTTGACCCCGAAGTCCTGTTGGGCTTCTCCTCCGGTCGGGCAGGGCAGTTACTGCCCTTGACACAGAGATGCTTGCGTTCCGATTGGCTGTCGGATTTCCTCGTGTTACCCATGTGTCATTTGAGTGTATGAACTGTGCCTGGTGAACAGGCCGCTGACATGACTCAGCCTCAACACCAGCGCCTCTACCCTAAGGGTCCCCGTCCCCCCTCTGTAGCAAAAAGTCCCTGAAGCAGGACTCAGGGAAAGAAGAGGCCGTTTCCTCCCTTCAGAAAGAGGAGGACGATGGGAAAGCAAAGTGCAAAATTTGCAGGTGCAGACAGCTAACGTTGCGGGAAGGATGGGCGGGGTGGGGGGATGGGGGAGTAAAGCTCTCAGAACTTGCCTCTGGCAGAACTTTGTGCGGAGAGCGAAAGCTCAGCGTTTATTTAAACATGCAGCCTGGGTAAAGCAGCGAGCCCAATCCAGGGATAGAGTAAAAAAAAAAAAAAAGAATAGACTTGGAAGATTAAAGTAGCTAATACTATCGGGTGAAGAGAGATGACGATATTATTATTGGTATGAGGCCAACCCTGAAATGCTGAGATTGCGATATTAAGTATGAATTGTATAATACGTTTAAGGCAAAGTCCTTTAATCTTCCCCATAATGGCTCCTAAGAGCTTTCCTTTCCATCTCCTATAGGCTAAACCTTCTGATTTCTCGTCAATGTTAAGTTGACACATAGAATTGTCGATAGCAGATGACTTATCTGCTGAAAGGTCAGTTTCTTAAGATTCAATTTAATTGATCGTAATGAACAATGTTCTTTTCCGAATTTCAGATGCCTTTTAATTGTTCCCCATACATAGACCCTAAAAGTTTGAACACCACGGACTACTTATAAAAGACTGACTAAAGCATAGTGAATCCTCTCTATTCATTCTCTGATCTATTCTGCTGTTTAAATACCCAGTGCATAGCACTTTGTTAGGGCTGCCCTCACAAACTAATAGAGTAAGCTAATTTTTTCATAACACCATGGATAAAACTTTTTAAAATATTTTTAAAAAGATTTTATTTCTAAGTAATCTCTATACCCAACAGGGGGCTGGAATTTACAACCCCAAGGTCAAGAGCTGCATACTTTACCAACTGAGTCAACCAGGTGCCCCTGGATAAACTTTTTTTTTTTTTTTAAGATTTTATTTGACAGAGAGAGAGCACAAACAGGGGGAGCAGGAGAGGGAGAAGCAGGCTCCCCCGGAGCAGGGATCCTAATGCGGGGTCAATCCCAGGACCCTGGGATCATGACCTAAGCCGAATGCAGATGCTTAACCAACCAAGCCACCCAGGCACCCCTGGATAAACTATTTTAACCATGTAGCTCATCCAGTGCTTCTTAGGGTTAAATTTCCCCAAATTATATGCAGGGCTTTCTTGCCAGAAAAAAGAAGACTTTCTGCCCCACTCTTCCTATTTTAAATGGGTGAATAAAATGTAATCCTTTGCAGTTAAGGAAGAGAATACTAAAAGATCTTTGGGTAGGGAGCGAGAGAAAGGAACACAAGGAGAGCACTGAGAAAAAAAAATCATTTTTTATTGAATCCTCAAGGATAATTTTACACTAGTCTCTTTCCCACTGAAATCCTTCTTACTGTACATGAATTTCGGTCAGAGGTATTGGTAACAGTATATCTAAAATATCTAAGTACTTACTGTTTTGTTTCCAAGAGTAGTGTTAAATTACTTGTGAAACAATAATTGCCCAGCTGGTTTATAATTCCCTGGAAGTAGAAACTGCACAATACACCCATCCAGTCAGTGAGTATGAACAGAGAGCTTATGGTTCAAGAAAAGTTTGCAAAATGTTGATGAAAAGAGAGAGTAGAAATACTCTTTATACTATTTAGATGCCCAACTCCACAAGGCACTTAAAAATTAACTCCTTCTGTCATCATCAAGACAGCATGGTACTGGCACAAAAACAGACACATAGATCAATGGAACAGAATAGAGAGCCCAGAAATAGACCCTCAACTCTATGGTCAACTAATCTTCGACAAAGAAGGAAAGAATGTCCAATGGAAAAAAGACAGCCTCTTCAATAAATGGTGTTGGGAAAATTGGACAGCCACATGCAGAAAAATGAAATTGGATCATTTCCTTACACCACACACGAAAATAGACTCAAAATGGATGAAGGACCTCAATGTGAGAAAGGAATCCATCAAAATCCTTGAGGAGAACACAGGCAGCAACCTCTTCGACCTCAGCCGCAGCAACCTCTTCCTAGGAACATCGCCAAAGGCAAGGGAAGCAAGGGCAAAAATGAACTATTGGGATTTTATCAAGATCAAAAGCTTTTGCACAGCAAAGGAAACAGTTAACAAAACCAAAAGACAACTGACAGAATGGGAGAAGATATTTGCAAACGACATATTAGATAAAGGACTAGTGTCCAGAGTCTATAAAGAACTTATCAAACTCAACACCCAAAGAACAAATAATCCAATCAAGAAATGGGCAGAAGACATGAACAGACATTTCTGCAAAGAAGATATCCAGATGGCCAACAGACACATGAAAAAGTGCTCCATATCGCTCGACATCAGGGAAATACAAATCAAAACCACAATGAGATACCACCTCACACCAGTCAGAATGGCTAAAATTAACAAGTCAGGAAATGACAGATGCTGGCGAGGATGCGGAGAAAGGGGAACCCTCCTACACTGTTGGTGGGAATGCAAGCTGGTGCACCCGCTCTGGAAAACAGCATGGAGGTTCCTCAAAATGTTGAAAATAGAACTACCCTATGACCCAGCAATTGCACTGCTGGGTATTTACCCTAAAGATACAAACGTAGTGATCCGAAGGGGCACGTGCACCCGAATGTTTATAGCAGCAATGTCCACAATAGCCAAACTATGGAAAGAACCTAGATGTCCATCAACAGATGAATGGATAAAGAAGAAGTGGTATATATACACAATGGAATACTATGCAGTCATCAAAAGAAATGAAATCTTGCCATTTGCGACGACGTGGATGGAACTAGAGGGTATCATGCTTAGCGAAATAAGTCAATCGGAGAAAGACAACTATCATATGATCTCCCTGATATGAGGGAGAGGAGATGCAACATGGGGGGTTAAGAGGGTAGAAGAGTAAATGAAGCAAGATGGGATTGGGAGGGAGATAAACCATAAGTGACTCGTAATCTCACGAAACAAACTGAGGGTTGCTGGGGGAGGGGGGTTGGGAGGGGTGGGTAGGGTTATGGACATTGGGGAGGGTATGTGCTATGGTGAGTGCTGTGAAGTGTGTAAACCTGGCGATTAACAGACCTGTACCCCTGGGGGAAAAAATATATGTTTATAAAAAATAAAATTTAAAAAAAAAGTAGAAGATAAGGAAAATTAAAAAAAAATTAACTGCTTCATTTCCTTTAAGTTTCTATGATTTACTTTATATATATTCATTTGAACATGTTCTATGTATAGTGTTAATGAATTTCTTTCTGGTCTCTCTGAGCATCTGTGTGCTCTACATGAAATTGGGATAACAAATGTACTGACCTCAAGCATAAGAATTGGACGGAATAATTAACACAATGTCTAGCATTTAGTTAAAGCTTGGTAAGCACAAGCTATAATTTTAAGAATTATCGTTGGGGCCTAATAATGCCTTAAACTCTGTAAGTTGGTACTCTTACTACCCTTTTATTTCTTTTTTATTTTTTAAAGGTTTTATTTATTTATGTCATAGAGAGATAGTGAGAGAGGGAACATAAGCACAGGGAACTGGAGAGGGAGAAGCAGGCTCCCCGCTGAGCAGGGAGCCCAACATGATGCAATATGGGGCTCAATCCTAGGACACTGGGATCATAACCTGGCCCAAGGCAGATGATGAACAACTGAGCCACCCAGTTGCCCCTCTTACTACCCTTTTATCACCATTTTCAGCTTTTTCTACCCTTTCCAAAATTTGATTGTGAAACTGGACAGAATATTAACTTGTTTTCAAATTCAGCCTTTATGCCTTGTATTAACAAATAAACTTGCCAATCTTCAATGTTAGCGACTTCATTCCTCTCCAGTTGCGTGTATATACTATGATTTTTCTGCAGAAGGATTTAGTGAGGGAGGTCCTGAAAAATCTGAGTATCAGTGGAAAACAGAATCTCAAAAGTAATGAAATCCAATTCCCAAAACTTCTTTTTGTTGGGATAAAGGGGTACCAGGACTGAAACAATTTTTTTTTTTTAATTTAGTGCCTAAACTGGAAATAGTTCACGTGTCCTTCAACAAAAGAAAGAAGGATACTGTGATGGGTTTATAAAAGACTACCACTCAGCAAGGCAAAAGAGATCAGCTATGATACACTCCATGATGTATCTCAAAAAACATTATGCTGAGTGGAAAAACCCGGACACGAAAGAGTGTGTCATGGGCACAATATGAAGACGCACACGAGACTTTTGTCTTTCCACTGTGTCAGTTTTATTCAGTCATAAAGCAAGGTTGATGTAATTACGAAACAGGCGCAGGATTCCAAACTCAATGACATTTCACCATGTGGTTGAACTTGGCTTCTTATACAGCACACAGAACAGAACGTAAGACAGACCACACAACAAACGAGATAGCAGAAGGGTGCAGGAAGTTAACGACCCAAACTCTGAAGTCAGTCTGTGGGCACTCGGTTGAGATAAGGCCTTGGCCCCCGCCGGGTCAGCTCTGGGCACTTCCTGCTTATTATGTCCAAGCAGTGAAGGAGACGAGCTGGGCAGAGCCTTCGGGGCCAGCTGCTT